TGAGGATAAGAGAACAAATATTACAACAAAGATGCTACCATTACTCAGAAAAATTCAAAATTTGGGAACTGTGAAGCAAGAACTGTGGATGAACACCAAATATATATAACCAGCATATTTTGGCCATCTTGATTTCTTATAAATCATTTTCTTGCAGAGTGGTAAAAAACAATGAGCAGTAATTATGTTTTCAAGAGCAGCTGTAGCAATAAGGACTATAATTCTTTCTTACAGTTTTCCTTTTGTAAGTCCCTCGGACAAAGCGACCAAGTAGAATCCCCCAATGTCTATAATCTTATTATGTGAAGCAAATAGTTTCATGAGCAAAAATTCTCAATAACCATTATGTTATCAGTAGTTTGCTAGGGGGGGCCTCCCTGGTGGCACAGGGGTTAAAGACAGAGCTATCAGACCTCCCTTGCTGCACAAGGGGTTAAGCACAGCACTGTGAAGCTATCTGCAGCCTCTGCTGCATGAGTTTGATCCTAGCCAGGGAGCTACCCACATGGTGCAACAGACCTCTCCTAGCTCACCCGCTGCTCCCCTTAGCAGTGTATTTCAGTCAGTCTGCCTGGTCTGTTCCGCACTCTGTCTCTGGTGAATCCGCTCACTCCCTGTACCTCTGGCTTGTACTCCAGCTCCTGTATGCATAAATAAACCTTTAAAAAAAAAAAAAAAGACAGAGCTATCAAGCTTTTGCCAGCCACTGTAGCACTGAGTTCCATCCCTGGCGGGCCATGGAGCAACACACATGGTGCAGCAGACCTCTCCTGCCTCCACTGCTGCTCCCCTCAGTAGTGTATTTCAATAGATCTGCCTATTCTGCCTCCCACTTTCTCTGGTGAATCATCTCCCCCCGACACCTCTGGCTTATTCCCCAGTTCTTGTATGCATAAATAAATAAATCTTTAAAAAAAATAGTTTGCTAGGGTTGCCCTAGCAAAGTACTGCAAAGTAGGTAACAGAAGCAATAGAAATGTATTATTTCACAGGTTTGCACTCAAGTTACTGTCAAGGTTAGTTCATTCTATGAAGAAGAATCTATTCTGTTTCTGGTGGCTTGCTGGTCATCATTGTAGTTCAGCTGATCACTGTCTTCCTCTTCATATGGCTTTCTCCTTTTGTATATATTGTATATAAATGTTTCCTTTTCACATGGACAGCAATCCTATTGCATTCATACCCATTCCAGTATGAACCTTATCTACCTCATCTTAACTACATCTGCAGTGACCTTATTGCCAAATAAGGTCACATTCTGAGGTTCTACTAAGGATTCAGACTTTAAACTTCTAATTGGGGAACGGAGGGATTGCACACAATTCAACCCATTACCCAACCTTAATTTTAATTGCTAATGTTGTTGTTTCCTATACAGCAAATCAACGTATTTCAGTGTCTGTTACTCCCCCCAAAAATCTAACACAGGACAAAGGCACTACAAATATAGTGACATTTTGTAAGAGAAAATGTTATTGGTGTATTAGTTTCATTTTCAGTCTTTCAAAAATTTACCAAAAATGTAGTGTTCCAGGAACTGTCCAAAAATATTGGAGAAATCAGTAGGCAAAAAAAAAGAAAATATTTTATTTTTATTTATTTAAAAAAATTTATTTATGTATATAAGAATTGGGGTACAGGCCAGAAGTGTGGAGGGTGAGAGGATTCACCAGAGACAGAGAGGGGGACAGAACAGGAAGGCTGACTGAGAGGCACTGCTGAGGGGAGCAGGGGGCGAACCAGGAGAGGTCTGCGCCATGTGGGTAGCTCCCTTGCCAGGGATAAAACTCATGCTGCAATGGCTGCAGATAGTTTCATAGGCTGTGTCTTTTTTTTTTTTAAATGGAAAATTACCTTTTTTTTTTTTAAAGATTTATTTATTTATTTATACAAGCACTGGGTACAGTCAGAATCACGGGAGGGTGAGAGAATTCACCAGAGCCAGAGCAGGGAGCAGAATAGGCAGAAGAACCAAAGTACATTGCTGAGGGGAGCAGCGGGCGCTGCAGAAGAGGTCTGCGCGCCATGTGAGACCCTCGCCTGGCAGCCAGGGATTGAACCGGCGCTGCAGGGGTTGCAGGCAGCTTGGCAACCCAGTGCTCAACTGCTGCACCACCGGGGAGGCCCCATAGGTTGTGTCTTAACCCCTTGTGCCACCAGGGAAGCCCAACAAAGTTTTTATTAACTGACAGTTTATATTTTAGTGGATGGAGATAGACAGTAAGCAAATAAGCAAATTAGATCTTACTTGCTTACTTGCTGTGATAAGGTCTTACACCAAATAAAATAGATTAATGAATGATTAGGTAGTTACATTATACTCAAAATTTAGTAATTAGTTATTTTTAAGTAGTATCATTAGTAACATAATTAGAAAATAGCAAATAGCAATTATAGTCTGTAATTACTAATAATTGCTGAATTACTCTCTTCCTAGGTGACACTTTGTCTGGAGTCTAAATAACAAGAAGGAGGGCCTCCCTGGTGGCTCAAGGGTTAAGATGCAACCTATGAAGCTAACCGTCACTGCAGCATGAGTTCAATTCCTAGCCAGCCAGGGAGCAACCCCCATGGTGCAGCAGACCTCTCCTGACTCGCCCCGCTGCTCCCCTCAGCAGTGTACTTTGGTCAGTCTGCCTGTTCTGTTCCCCACTCTGTCTCTGGTGAATCCTCTCATCCCCCACACCTCTGGCCTGTACCCCAGCTCTTGTATGCATAAATAAATAAATAAATCTTAATAAATAAATAAATAAACAAACAAATAAATAAATAACAAAAAGGAGACCACCAGGCAAAAATCTTTGGCAGAGGGAGCAGCTACTGCTACAGGAGTGAGGCTAGAATGAGCTGGTCATATAATAAGAACAAAAATATAAACCTGTGTCTCCAGTGGTTTTGAGAGAAAAAGTGGGCCAAGAAGTGGCTAGAGTGGAAAAGAGCACTCATCTCAATCTCTTAGCAGGTTAAGGAAATCAGAGCCATTCTAACATGATAGGAATAACTGGGGAGAATGTGGTCTGGCTTACATTCATACACATAACTGGTCAGCAGCGCAGGAAAGCTGGAAGCAGAAAGACCAGTGAGAGTGATTTTGCAATAAACTGCCTAATGATCATACTGTTCTCCCCTGGATGATAACAATGTAGATAGAGAAAGGTAAGTGGATCCAGGACATGTTTTTAAGCTACAGATAACAGAAGTTAGCCTAACTTGCTGATGGATTGAAAGCAGGAGTGAAGAAATGAGATGAATTGAGGTAAATTCATCTGAATTGGCCAATTTGGTGGACAGTGGTGCCAGTTACTGGCATGAGAAAGACCAGAGGAAGAGCAGAATCTATGGGGCTAGATTAAGAATTCTTTTTTGGCTATGGTAAATTGAAGATGAATATTGAATAATGAAATAAATATGTCAAGTGTTAGCAGCTGATATATAAATCTAGAGTTGTGGGAAATGGTCTTAGCTGTAAAAATAGGTTTAAGAGACATCTACATATTAAAAAACACATAAAGCACTGTGGTTAGATAACATCACATGGGAAGATGGTATAGTTAGAGAAGAAAAGTAATCCTAATCATGTCAAAGCTCTCAGGCATTTGAGTATTTAGAGGACAATTATTCATAAAATTAAAACAGAGACATAACCAATGGATTTTTTCAACATCTGAGGTATCTTGCCATTTCTGTGTGGTGGAAACAGAAGTTCTGTTGAATGGAATGTACAAAAGTGAAAACTAGAAAGCAAAGGTAGAATAGAAACACTTTTAACAAGTTGTAAATAGTATTAGAGACTACAGAGGTAGTTAAAATGGACTGTGAGATCAAGGAAAGATTCTGTGTTATTGCTTTCATTTTTTAAATATAGAAAATGCTGATGATAATGATCCTGTAGAGGAGGTAGAATTTGCTGATACAAGAGAAGAACAATAATTTCAGGATTCGCTTTGCACAGTTTGAATACAGGTATTCTTTGTCAAAGGCTGATACATCTACATTGAATTTCAGTTTTCAGAATTTTTATTCTGACATTTGTCCATCAACTGCTTTTTTTTTCTCTACAACCATTGTAACAGATATAAATATAATACCTCAGTATCAAACTTGAGATTCCACACCCAAGTCCTCCTTTCCTTAGATCTGTCAGCTAATATCCTGCCGAGAAACAGAAGGCCACTCAAATAGGATTCTTGTTGGAAAAGCATGCATGTTGTTCAGATTTGGAGTGGGCAGAGAGGTAAGGACAGGAAGAGAGGACAAGAGCCTATGGGGAAGGTCTACGGTGTTTTGTGGTTGGTGTTGTATAGTCACTGCACCAGGAGAGAGAGAGCATATATTTCCAAAATTCTAACAAGGATATAAACTAATGACACCTCAATAAAAAATAAAACAAAACTTTGGTAATATTAAAGAGGAAGGGAGTGCCCTTTGTTGATATTGTTATTTTTTTAAATGCTAGGTAATATCACACCATGTTTATGTACTTATAGTAATGAACTTAATGAAGAAAAGACAGTGCTCAGGAAGAAGTAATCATTTCAGCAGTAAAGCTACTGATAAGTAAGAAAGTATAAGACACAGAGTGCAAGTGAAGAGGTCTGTATTTTATAGGAACTAGGATTCTTCATTCATAATGTGACAACCATGCACCAAGCCACTTCTTGATCATATAGTAGTATTTTCCAACTGTTTTGCCTCCAGATAGGGGCATATGATTGGTCTTCATAACAGCAACATAGAAATAAAATGATGCTGCTGGGCTTAAGCAGTTAAAGCTTCACTCCACCATTCTTTTGCCTTTACAACAGCCACAGAGGTCATGTATCAAAGATGGCCTCATAAAAAGGAACATGATCTGAAATTGAAAGCATTGCTTAAAGGAAAACTGCCACACAACCTAAAGAACAGTATTAAACTTCGTGTAAGTGATAACCTTTCAATAACCTTTCAATGGGAAACCACTGAGATGCTAGAATTATTCTTTTAGTAAATTGTCAACTTACCTTGGTAAATATTTCAAGAAGCAAAAACAGTAAGTGTGCCTAGAGACTCATGGATTGGTAGGCTTCATAGAGGGCAGATGGGAATAATTCCTCAATCTGTATTACTGAAAAATGAAGTAAGTTCATAAGTTAAAAATGAGGAAAGAAGAGTTGGTGTTGAATGTCTGGAGAGAACAGGCATAATTTTGTATTTTGGTGAACAAGAAAGCGAACATATTTGAGTTAGTAGGATTTCTGGGCAGTGGCAAAATCATATTTGAAATTTGGATTTACAAATTTAAAATATCTAGTGTTGCTTAATTAAGACTTTTTAAAAATATTTATTTTATTTATTTATGCATACAAGAGCTGGGGTATAGGCCAGATATGCAGGGGGTGGGTGAAAGGATTCACCAGAGACAGAATGGGGAGCAGAACAGGCAGACTGACTGAAATACACTGTTGAGTGGAGCAGTGGTCGAGACAGGAGAAGTTTGCTGTGCCATGTGGGTTAGCTCCTTAGCCAGGGATCAAATTCATGCTGCAGTGGCTGGTGATAGCTTGATAATACTGAGACTTTAACCCCTGCACCTCCAGGGAGGCCCTTAATTACGACATCTTAAACGGTGTAGCATTAAACTAAATAAACAAATACAAGTTTGTCTTAGAACTAAAGAATTCCACTTTCATCTAATTACACTGTGATGAAAAAGATGATATTACAAAATATTTTAAGATAAAAATAGGGTAATTTCAGGTCACCTAAGGATAGGTCATGTAAGCAGACATCAAATATTGGCTGTTGTTGCTATAAACAGCACTATGGGGCTACAAGGGAATCAAAGAGGACAGAAACTGGTGTGGCAAGTTGGAAATCTACTGGAGACTTATTCTCTTGAAACTAGTCATCTTATATGTTTGGTTGCTTTCCTTATTTTACATCTCCCAACACTACTCTGCTCTTTATTGCTGTTTAACTTAAATCATATTTCTAACTTCCCTAGATAGCCTAATGGTTCCTTGGTTGACAGAGAGGATGTGTAAAACTTCTTTGAATTCCACAGTACCAAAAATTCTACTATGAAGAGAAGCTTAAAAAAAAAAAAGTCTCTGAAAGGAACATTTCCTCATAAATAACAACTTTCAATGGTTTATGCTATTGACCATGTGCTTTGTGGTGCTCTGCATATATCACATGAGAGAGTCACTATGAAGGTATGAAATAGGCATGGACTTTAATGATCTCATTTTAAATATCAGACATGATGTTTCAACCGTTTAAGGCATTAGCCCAATGTTACAAAGTGGTTGAGTGAAGTTCAATGCTATACAACTCACTCCAGAATCGATGGGTTTCCAAAAGTGTTAATACCCAGCTCGCTCTCTGTTGACAGCCTTCTGATAAATATTCAGCCACTGACTTCCACCTTGTCACTACTCTGAGGCGAGAAAAGAGACAAGGAGGTGGGAGAACACAAGAGAAATTGTGCTGCCACTGTTTCCACAAAATAAATGGAACTTTAATCTGGAAAAAAAATCATGAAAAAAGCACAAAAAAAAAATGCTGATTCCATTCTTATCTTTCTGTCACCCAGTCCTAGCAAGTTCCTCTAACATTTCAAGGAGAAAAGCTGCTTATAAAGTTTTCCTTTTAAACAAAGAAGATGTATTTAATATCTCTGGGTTTATTCTTTAGTCAAAATACTACTTAAGTCTCCTACTCAGTCATCTTTCACTACTTTAAAGCAATTAACTTTGTTATGTCAATTTTAATGTAAAATGATTCCCTCTAGAATGATTTTGTTTCTTTGGAATTAACGATAAAAGCAATTTGCCAAGAGCCCACCTGCTTGTCTTCCGCCGAGCATATTTGAGTCATGAGACAATTTCAAGGATTTCTGGTGAACAGTTTGCCAAAGGTAAAACTGACACAAGGAAAAACTATTGCAAAATTAGTTCTAGAACTATTTCTTCTCTGATGTTTTCCTCTTGAAACACCCAAAATTTCAATATTGCCTTTTCTGATCTATTTTTCTATCAATAATTATTTTCATCATCTATATCCTCTGTTTGTGAATTGAGTTCCCCAAATAAATCTCCGCATTTACTAAACACTAGGGTCCTTCTTAGCTTCCTTATGTCATCACTGTAGGGGAAGTAGAGTGAGTAAATGAAGTTATTTGAAAGTGATATTTCTAATATCTAGGAGATATAGATGTCAATATCAACAAGGACTATATACAATAACAATATCCTAAAAAATTTCAGTTGCTTTGAAGACTGGGATAATTCATTAATTTCCTATTTACATCTATAAAAAGAATTACCACAAATTTAGTGATTTAAAACAACACAAATTTGTTCTTTTACATTTATGAATAGTAGAATTCCAAAATACATAAATAAAAAAACTTTATGTAAAAATTTATGTAAAAATACATAAATAACAACAACAACAACAAAGAAATAAAAGATAAGTTTCATGGGCCTCCCTGGTGGTACAAGGGGTTAAGCACAGCACTGTGAAGCTATCTGCAACCTCTGCAGCACGAATTTTATGCCCCACACACAAGGCACAGCAGACCTCTCCTGCCTTGCCCACTGCTCCCCTCAGCAGTGTATTTCAGTAGATCTGCCTGTTCTGGTCCCCTCCCTGTCTCTGGTGAATCCTCTCACCCCCACCCCCACACCTCTGGTCTACACCCCAGTTCTTGTATGCATAAATAAATTTTTTAAAAAATCAGTTTCACAATGCTAAAATCTAGGTTGTCTTTGGGACTGCATTCATACTGGAGACTGGAGAAGAGAGTCTGTTTTCCTTGTTTTTTCCAGCTTCTCAAAGATACCTATATTCCCAGCATCAGTGTCTGTCCCTGCAACTTTAAAGCCAGCAGCATAGCATCTGCTGTTCTTTCTTGTCTCTCCTTTCATTCTAATAACTTGTCCCTATGACTGTGATCTTCCCACCTCTCTGTTATAAGAACTTCTGTAATTACATTAGACCCCCTCCACCAAAACCATCCAAGATAATCTTCCCCCATCTCAAGATCACTCACATAATCACATCTGCAAAATTCCCATTGTCATTCACAGGTTTCAGGGATTAGTATATAGATGTCTTTGAAGAGTCATTATTCTCCCCAGCACAGATAGTAAAATGGGACATCAGCTGGGAACCAGAAATTTTGGGTCCTGGCCCCCATTCTGTCATTTAAGCCATCAAGCTTTACAGTTGGAATGGGACTCAGATAAAATCCGATGCACCAGCTTGCCCGCTTTACTGCCCAAACAACACATTTCTCAAATGAGAAATAAAGGCCCAGAGAAAGCGCCTGACTTGCTCAAAACCAAATACCTGGCAGTGGCAGAAGGGGAGAAAACACAGGTTGGATACCCAATGCCAGTGCCGCTTCTCCTGTTTCAGACATAGGACCTGGCACACCCAATATGTGCCTAAGGGACTGTTGAGAGAAACAAGTGAGACGTACAAGTGAAAAGCATTGGCCTCTATAAAGTGCTATGTCATTTTATAGGAGGCATTTTTATTTATTCCACAGTAAAAATGTAGAGCTGTCAAACATGTGTCAGATCTCTTTCCTACCAATGAACCAAAGGCCTGAGAGGAGGGAACATGGAAAGTGAAAAATTTAGAGCTTAAATTGAGTAAAAAGGGTTACTATCACTTTTTGCTCAGTGGTTTTGCTGAGAGCCAATTTATAACCGCCCTTTACTATCAGGGAGAAATCTCAAACCCAACATCAGATTGGATATTTGAAAAATGGTTAGATATTTAGAGAGTGAAGGGACTGTAGGAAACATCAGCTTCTCAGTATCTGCTCTGCTGACTTGCACTTCCCTTTTGCAGAGATGAGAATTCTAAATTGAGCATCAAACGTGGCTAGGGTTGCTTCTCAAAATTAAACTGCTGCTACAATTTATAGAATTGTATTTAATCTACGGTTGTTTCAGGGTTAAGTTTGAGCTCAGGCACATGGGAACATTGCAAATGAAATAAAAAAGTAACACTTAGGGCCTCCCTGCTGGCTCAGTGGTTGAGCACTGGGCTGTGAAGCTACCCGCAGCATCTGCAGCGCCGGTTCGATACCCTGCCTCCGGGAGAGGGTCCCACATGGCGCGCAGACCTCTCCTGCTGCCCGCTGCTCCCCTCAGCAGTGTACTTCGGTCCTTCTGCCTGTTCTGTTCCCCACTCTGGCTCTGGTGGATTTTCTCACCCTCCCGCGCTTCTGACTGTACCCAGTGCTTGTATAAAGAAATAAATAAATCTTTAAAAAAAATAAAATAAAATAAAAAAGTAACACTTAAATTTTATGAACTAAATTCTGCAACTGGGCAATGATAGGAGATCTCCCTTTGTTTCCCCCATGGTTGATGAGCACAGCCTCCAAATACTAGAATCTTTTAGAAGAGAAAGACCGTTAGGAGAGAGTTAATATGTTGAATATGGGGAAAGACAATGGGGTTTCCCTCAACAACCTCACCTGGGAAAGGACTAAATCACTGAAGGGAAAATGTCTCCTCTGGCTGACTGGGTATATGAGGTTGACCAGTTTTCCTACAGTTTGAGCTGAATTTAGATAAAGAAAGCAATAAATGCCAGATAGTTAGCTAGAGTTTAAAGAATCCCAGTTTCTGTGAACCTTTTGTTGAGAAGAGGAAAAACCTGTGCTAGAGACCTTACTAGAAGTTGGGAGGTACAGACTGCTACTTCTGTAGCTTTAATTCTGGGCTACTACAGATGTAACTTTTTTTTTTTTCCCAGATGTAACTCTTAATGATAACATTCAGGTCTTGTGCCCATGTTTGTACAATGAGTAGGGCCTTTGGCATGGCAAAAACTACCTCGTGTAGAATTCCCTTCACCAATGCACCCCTGCACCATCACCAAAGTCCCCTGTGCTCCTCCCTCCATCCTTCTGGAGAAGCAAATTTTGTTTAAAAATGAACAATGATGGAAAAAATAAATAATAAAAAAGAAACCTACCTCATGTGTTTTCTCTCCTTCACCAGAGTCCAAAATCTATACATTCTGCTGCTTTAACAAATTGCTTTAATCATTAAAAAACATTAATGAGCCACCAAGACTGTTACGGATTCTGTTTCTCAAGTTGAGGTTTCTGCTATGCCCTGGTGTTACAAGGCAGGTGACAACTGTGTTTTGTGTTCACTTTAGAGAGAGAACAAAATTCCGGAACCCCAGCCAACCGAAACAAACTGATTCATCTGCATGCCCTTTCCCCAGAATGTCTCCTGAACATCACCAGGGGACAAGGAAGACGTGTGGAGGTAGCGTATGCACAGTAAAATGTTCTCACCGCTCTCTACCCATCAGAATCTTGCTCTTCTAACATCCAAATCATGTCATCCCAGGACTGGGTCAGCTGGAGAGGTTTTCCCTTCCATACACGGGACTAATCAGGCAGTAGGTAAAGTGTACCTTAAACTTTTACCTTTAACCCTTTATTGCATCGATACTGTATGTATACACACATTCACATACACTTGTATATGCCCTTTACATTACAACTTTTATTTCCTGCAATTGTGTAGGGGACGTCATGAATAATAGAAATTCTTAAATTGGGGCCTCCCTGGTGACGCAAGGGGTTAAGTCACAGCACTAGGAAGCAATCCAAAGCCACTGCAGCACAAGTTCGATCCCTGGCCAGAGAGGAAACCCACATGGCACAGCAGACCTCTCCTGTCTCACCTGCTGCTCCCCTCAGAGGCAGAATTTTTTCTACTTCAATGCATCTGCCTGTCCTGCTCCTCACTCTGTCTCTGGTGAATCGTCTCAGCCCCCGCACCTCTGGCCTGTACCCCGCTCTTGTATGCATAAATAAATAAATCTTTAAAAAAAAAAGAAATTCTCAAATCTTTCCTACTTGGCAGTTAATTGTAATGAGAAAACTGCTTTCAGCTGTGTGCATAGGAACCTGCACACTCAGAGATGTACACAGCCCCACACACTCTGCCAAACTTCTGAGACTGTCACTGATTTGGTTGTCCTGCCAGCAGCCAGGCCCTGAACAGACAGCACAGTGGAAGCCATGAACACTATCCAAAGCAGAGAACCTATCCCTGCAGTCCTGTGAATACAGTGATTTCCTGTTCTGGGATGTAGTCACCACTATGACATGTTTAAATGATTGAGTTCTGGCCTCTATCACACCAACCTACACACAGAAATACAGCTGTATAGGAATGATTCAAGGAATCAAAAGAAAGCAAATATTGGTTTTACAGTTTTATTGAGATGATTAATATACAAAATACATATACTTAATATATACAATTTGATAAGTTTGTACATACGTGCAACCCAGGAAGCTATCATCACAATCAAGGTAATAAACACATAATACATCCTCAAAAACTTCCTCCTATGCTTTTGTTATGTTGAGTGGTGGTAGATTTCTCTATGGTAAAAACACTTAATGTGCAATCCACTTTCATAGCAAAATTTTCTCTTTTTTAAAACTTTACTGATGGGCCTCCCCGGTGGCGCAGAGGTTGAGTGCTGGGTTGCGAAGCTGCCCGCAGCCTCTGCAACGCCGGTTCAATCCCCGGCTGCCGGGTGAGGGTCCCACATGGCGCACAGACCTCTCATGCCACCCGCTGCTCCCCTCGGCAGTGTACTTCGGTCTTTCTGCCTGCTCTGCTCTCCCCTCTGGCTCTGGTGAATTCTCTCGCCCTCCCGCACTTCTGACTATACCCAGTGCTTGTATAAATAAATAAATAAATCTTTAAAAAAAAAAAACAAAACAAAACTTTACTGATATATAATTGATGTATAGTATTGTGTAAACTTATTTTGCACAATATGATGATTTAAGTATAGGCATAATGATCAGCATACAAGGAAAATTAATATGCCCCTCACTTCACATAGCTTGTTTTTGTGTGTGGTGAGAGCATTTAAGATTTGCTCTTTTAGCAACTTTCAGCTTACAATACAGTATAGTTAATTATACACCATATAGTACACTACATCCCCAGCACTTATTTAACCTTATAACTAGAAATTTGTACCCTTTAACATCAGTCATTCCTCTTACCTATTGCCCCTGACAACCACCAGTCTATTCTTTTTCTATTTCGTTATTTTTTTGATTCCACATATAAGTAAGATCATACAATGTTTATTTTCCTTTGACTTATTTCACTTAACATAATGCCCTCAAAGTCTATTTTGTTACAAATGGCAGAATTTCCTTCTTTTTGACTGCTGAATAATATTCCATTTTATATATATATTTCCCACATTCCATTGTATATACATTTCCCACATGTATATATAATACTGCGCATGACTATGTAAATCATCTCTTCATTAGATTGTCTTCAGAATCTGATCTCCATGTGTTCTCTGACTTCTGACAGAACTCTGATAAATCACCCAAAATGTCTTCCCTGTAAGAAAGAATTTAGGCTTAGAAACTCAGGTTATATCTCCAAGTACTTTTAGCTATATCTAATATGCTTGTGATAGAAAACAAAAGGAATTGCTGGGAAAGTTTCAAATGTATTACCCAGATCACATTCAATGTGAGGGCATCAGACTGTGACAGAGAGCACACAGAATACTTATTTTCACTCTGTGCAAAGCCCAGCCAACAGACTTGGAGGAAAAAAAGATAGCACATCCATTAAATATATTTCACCTGCCTTCAATCCCTGCATGTCAAGCTCTGACTTTCTTAGCTCTGACAGGTCTCAAATGTTCAGCTGTGCCAACCTCACTTGTCAACATTTTTGAACTACCTGTAACTGTAACCCTTTCAAAAGTCTTTTTAAGCAGAAACTCACAACTATCTCCTTGCTTAAAAATCTGTTATTCATCCTGGCTACAGTAGTTCCTACACTGTAGGTAATAAATTTTACCCCCCATGACTTTATAGTTTTAAACACTTCACAGATGGTTAATGAGGATTTTGCCTTCCCTCTCCCAGCAGAGCTCTTCTAAATAATATGTGGTTATCTTACTCACCAGGTGTCAATCCAAGTAATAAAAAGGAATACAAATGATTTTTCATTACATTAGTAATTTGAATCATAATTCTGTTTCCCTTTCATTTACAGAAGCAACATGGTGAAACAAAATCAATGTCCTCTAGACAAAATATCATTACATTTGGAATTTAAATCTCATTCTCAATTTTGGTGTGTTAATAAATTGCTTCGTGGTTATTGTTGTCTGATTCCTTTGAAAGAATTATTAAGTGATGTGAACTTACTTTCAGTCCCTTGGAGATGCCATCAATACCTTGCTGTCACTGATAGAGTATTGAATAAACATTGTGCACATGATCAATAAGGACCAAGAGTCCATGTGCATTTCCAAGGAATATTCTCCAGGAGGGAATGAGTGTGTGTGTGTGTGTGTGTGTGTGTGCGCGCCTCTTTGTGTGTGTTCAAGTGTGCACACATGCATGTGAACATTTCATTTAAACAGTTTCTTTTACCATGGCGAACTGGCACAGGATATTTACTGCAAAATCTGTCTAGATCTTCATAAAATTCATGTTGAAGGTACAGGAATTAAAAAAAAAATAATAGTAAAGAAAACCTTGCATGTGGGATCAGACATGATCTACATCTAAATGGAAAAGGGCAAAAGTTGCTTTATGTTCCGCAAGAAATCAGATCAATTCTAGTCAACCCAGAAATACTAGCCTAGCAACTCTACAGTTCACAGCAGCCAATCATGAGCAACCTCTCATAAGCCCTGCTGAGAATATGGGGGACTGTAGGCGCAGGATGGCCTTGTGCAGGTTTCCTATGATCCAAGCAGACTGGGTAAAGGAGGAGTCCAGGAGCCCTCTGTGGATTCCTCAGGCTTTTATTGAGTTTTACATGTAGTGTGGCAAGCAGGTACACAGCAGGGGCGGGGGGGGGTGGTGGTGGAGGAGACCAGCAAGCCCAAGCAAATCTTCCAAGCCCCCAGCAAATCTTCCTTCTGGGCTTCTCTGGCTTCTCTCTCACCTCTCTCCTGCCTCTCTCCTGCTTCTGCTTCTCTTGGTGACTGTCTCCATACTCCTCCCATGTCCCACAGAAGTAAATAAGATAGTTTGCAACAATGAACAATGTAACAACTGCAGGTGCCCCATCAGGCCTTGGTGACTGTCTCCATACTCCTCCCATGTCCCACAGAAGTAAATAAGATAGTTTGCAACAATGAACAATGTAACAACTGCAGGTGCCCCATCAGGCCTGGCAATCCTATGGTGGGAGGGCAGAAAAGCCTGAAAACCAATTACCAAACCATTTACCCTAAAGGGACTTATCACAAAGGAATTAGGTATTTATCTAAGAGAATGTAGGCTTGTGTTTTTAGGCTTTTGACTTTATGTTCTGTGTTTCTTCCAATCCCTAATCCTTGAAACAATATACTGATTCTGCCAATAAATATCATCCTGTCAGTGGCTTATCATCATTTTCCTGTATTAAGAAATTTTGAAGTGATTATGACACAGTTACTGTTTAATCAGATATTTCACATGAGACAGATTTCTTATTAGCTTGAATACTACTACAATAAATTGGTGTGCTTTCATCTCAAATCAAGTTATCTGCATATTTTAGTTAGCTAAATGTGCTGATAAATTAAATGAATAACATCAATTACGTTTTTGATACACTGAAATTGTCTAAAATAATGAGAATCCTTGAATGTCTAATTAGCCCAGATCAGAATTATGTCCACTATCATTTTTCTTAGTAACTATGGCTTCAAAGTATTCTTAGATAATTTCGAAAAACAAAAAGATCTGTTTGACCAAAATATATTTAAAAATATGATTAAACACATGTAATTTGTCATAAACAGGAGACAGACCCATAGCCTGGATCTCCTCTAAATGTACCACTTCTCTAACATTATAGAGAGAAAGCAAGAGGGAGGTGTCCTTGATGTGTCTGCTGAGCCTCCTGCCCCTCGAACTTTCCGTAGTTAACAACCATGGTGATTTGAAGATATCAGTTCACTTTAAGTTCATGTATCAGTATCTCCTTGTTCTTATTAGAGGATAAGGGAAATAAATAAATTTATTTAACTTTTAAATACATTAATTTGGGCATCAGAAAGAGCAAAGAAAACAAAAGGAAAGTTAATTTTTTAAAAGTTTTTTTTTTAAATTTATTTATGTAT